AATTTCTTGAAATTAAATAATTTTTAGTTATCAAAGTGTTCTTGCTCCTTCTCGTACGATTGTACAAGAACAGTGATAAAGTAAAGTAAAGTAAAGTAATCTTTATTTGAAGTCGGGTTTCATATATACATAATAAACAAGGAACATGAGCTCTTAAGAGCTGTTTAACCGACTGATATTAATAAACAAAACATACATGTAATAACATCAGATTCATATACAACACAAACATACAGACAGCACATACATGTATTAATCATGTTAATACATAGATAGCACATGCAAAATAAAAGCTAAGCAAGACATATATTAAAACAAATGTCAAATATCAGCACATAGTAACACACAATATGTGTATCCAAGTAGCACATGCAAAATTAAACACTATAAAGCACAAGCAAAAGACTGCAAGCAGCTACAGCACAGGTAATGCATAAGCAAAGCAAATAAATAATAAATACAAATAACTGCAAAAAATAAAAAATAAAAACATAAAACAAACAGCAGGCTTCAAGGTCAAGTCATGTGGCAGCAAGGAGTTACATTATTTACAAGAACTGCAGGTACAACTTTCTGAAAAACACCAGGTGGAGATAAAATTTTTGAACTGGCCAAAAGTTGATAAGCTCCTTGCCAAATGAGGCAAGAAGTTCCAGAGTCTTGCTGCCTCATAACTAAAGCTTTTCTTACGATACCTTGTTGTTTTTGGCCGTGGTATATCCGCTATGCCTTTGTACCTGAAGTTATATGAATATTCTTTAATGTTTATTAAATTATGTAGGAATTCTGGACTTGATTTATTAATTATTTTATAAGTCTCTAATGCCATGGTTCTCATTCTTCTGATTTTTAGTGCTGGTAGCTTAGACTGTTCAAGGAGTGTATCGTAAGAATTTTTGTAGTCATCATAAATGAATCTGAGTGCTCTTTCTTGTATTTTTTCTATTTTCTTTGTGTTTTGTTCACTGCAGAAGTGCCATGTGAGAGGACAATAGCTGAGGTTTGACAAGATAAATGAGTGGTATATTGTAAGTGTAGAAAGTCTGGTGAGATGAGTGCCGATTCTTTTAAGTACGTTTAGTTGTCGTGCGGCTTTTTGACATATATTTGAAATGTGAGTGTTGAAATCCAGTTTAAAGTCTATTGTTACACCTAGAAGTTTCACCTCATCGTCACATTTTATGTTGAATCCATTTAGGTTGAAGACCATATTTTGAGTGTGTGTTTTTTTACCTATGGCAATTGCCTGGAATTTTTCTGGGTTTGCCTGCATTTTGTTGAAAGAGAACCATGATATTAGGGAGTTACTATCTTCCTCTAAAGGTTTTATTACTGATTCCAAAGTAGTACCTGATTTAGAGAGGGAGTTATCATCAGCATAGCTATATAAATCACAGTGTTTGACAAAAAGAAAGATGTCATTGATGAATACATTAAATAATACAGGGCCTAATATAGATCCCTGAGGAACACCTTTATAGATATCTTGCATTTGACTGATACTCTGTCCTACTTTCACACACTGTTTTCTTGTCGTCAGATAACTTTTGAGCAATTCAAGAGCAGATGGACTAAGCCCATATTTTTCCAATTTACAAAGAAGTAGTTCATGTGGAAGACAGTCAAAAGCTTTACTGAGATCCATCAATATTGCTGCTAAGTATTTATTATTGTCCAGTGCCTTTTTCCAATCTTCCAATATTTTAAGTAATGTTGACTGACAGCCATAGCCTGATCAAAAAGCCGCAAGGAAATGGTCGAAAATATCATCAAAGTATTTAGTAAGTTGATTTTTCTATGGCTGTTTAAAATTTTTTAGATATAGCAGGTAAAACACTAACTGGTCTATAGTTACCCTATTCAAGCACACTGTTTTTTTATGAATTGGTGCCACTTGGGCGATTTTTAACGAGTCTGGAAAAATGGAAGTGGATAATGATAAATTAACAAGCTGTGTGATAGGTTTAATCACTACAGGTTTAGCAGCGTGTAAAAGTTTTGGTGATATACCATCTATACCAGTTGCCTTTTTAACATTTATTTTACCAATTCTTTTAGAAACAAATTCTTCATTTATAGATTGAAAAGTAAGTTTATTTGATGTTGACCCATTTGAGTATTTATTAGAAATAGATTCTATACTTGGGTGTTTGTCATTCACCTGTATGTTGTTGTCACCGATGTTTTTTGCAACATTTACAAAAAAGTTATTAAAAATTTCAGATATTTCTTGTTGGTTTGTGATGATTTTGTTGTCTTCCTGTAGTATGGTATCTTTTTGGCTGGTGCATCCTTTGTTTGTTAGAAATGGCTTTACTGTTGGCCAGAAATCTTTAGACTTAGGACCACCTGTGCATCGTTCTAGGAAGTATCTATTAATCGATTGTTTTTTAAGTTTAGTGACAAAATTTCTTTGAGTTTTGTATGCATCCCATGTCTTGCTGTTATTCATTTTTTGAAATTTGTTATACAGCATTTTCTTTTTATAAATTGCAGATTTTAATTGTTTGTTCATTTTCACGAGTGATATCGTATAATTAGGAGCAAGAGCAGATCAATTAAATTAACATAAGAAGACATTTGACGAAATTTTGTTTCTGAAATAATAATTTCAACACCAAGAAAAAAATGTCCATGTCCCAAACGCCTGTTGTTTCATTTACGGACGAACAAGTCGACAGGACAAAGCCGCTTTAAATAGACTATAGCGAAGGCAAGATAACAGATACACCAAGATCCAGATAATGTGTATCAGATAATAGAATTCAGTTAGTAACTTGTGCCGTTTTAGGTTAAGAAAATGAGCTGTGTGTTCCTGCGAAGGACGTTAGAATCTATTCGAAAAATACTCAGAAGGTCCGATTCGATTTGATTTTGGTTTTTTAACGCCACTTTTAAGCACCGCTTTTGGGCTATTTCGTGGCGGCCAGTTTTTATTGGTGGAGGAAGCCGGAGTGCCCGGAGAAAATCACCGACCTTCGATAGGAAAACTGACAATCCTAGTCAATTAAGATTGGAGTCGAGTGCACCCGCACGAGCGGGGTTCGAACTCACAACCTAACTGTTGACTGGCTAGTGATTACAGTAGTAACTACTTAGACCACTCGGCCACCGAGGCCCCTCATAAGGTCCGACCATACGCGTATGATGGTATACGCGCATATGGTCATGATCATACACATGTGGTTCAAATACTCATATGGTCCGGTACATGTATATCCCTTTCATTATTTGTGTCTGGAGCTTGTCCCTCGGTGTGGGTTCGCGCAGATAAAATCTAAACTGCTTCAATAAGATAATAAATCGACATTCTATGGGAACTAAATGCGCTTCCTTTCTTACCTACTGATTACTTTATCAAAATGAAGCAGACTGCATACAGCAGCTTCTCAGTAAGAATGAGAAGAAGCTTTAGCATCACCTTCCGCTATAAAGATACTGTATCTCACTAAATAATTCAAAATTTGGTGACTATGTTGAACGTTCATCGATCCCATCGAATTTGAAAGAAGGATACAACAGATACAGTTAAATCTGACTCATAAATATTGAATAACATCCAGAAATTGACTACGATGGTCGGTTGAGAACAAGACTTTATGACAAACAAGATGATTTCAGCTTCCCAATTGTGAACTTTCTATTTCTATTCCACAGGCATTGTCTCAGAATTTTTTTTTTCCTATATACCTTAATAAAATTTGTTTTATTACGGTATATAGGGGGAAAAAATTCTGAGACAAGTGCCTGTGTTCTATTCAGCAAAATTCAAGCATCGCCTGCATATGGAGGATATCTCCCTTAGTTGTTGGTGCGATCTTTCAGAGCTTGCGTTTCCTGTCATCATTAAATGTTCCTTGATATAAGTTTGCTGCGCAGAAGGAAGCTATTGAATCAAGAATTCCATGTGTAAAATTTTAAAGTCATCCCTTCGAAAGTTTTACGAAAGTCATCAAGATCTGGTTAAACGTTATGGGCATATCTATGTCGCAGATGACCACGGGTTCTGGTGGAGTTCGTGTTGCTCAGTCTTAAGTTTTCTATCTTGTGCTTTGTATATTGTCTTTTGGTAGTTTTCCGTTTTTTTTTGCCATGGCATTGTCAGTTTGTTTTCGACTTATGAGTTTGAATATCACCTCTGTTTTGTCATGGCGTTGTCAGTGTCTTTTATGTTTTGATTGTCCATTCGGTAGCTTCTACCTATCTTTAAGCAGCTTAAACACACATGTTGGAGCATGCAATTATGGCGCAAAAACACAAAAGTAAAAGCATAAACTTATAAAAATAACTAAAATCAGAAACAGCAAAAAATAGCAAAAGCATTATAAGTAAATAAAAATTTTGCTGTGCTGAAAACAAAGCATAAAACTTAGATTAATAAACATTGGCAAGAATTTATCAAGTTTTGTAATTATAATCTAAAGCTGATACCTTACGAATCTTATCTTGCAGCACATTCCAAAGTTTAGCACCCGCATACCTTAAAGATTGTAGGCCATATGCTGTGGTAGTTCTGTTGTATTCTGGTTTCTAAAAGAGTAAGAGTTATCCTTTACGTGGATTTAATCATGATGATAAACAGGACATTATTTAGTGATAATTTATTAAACTTCAATACCAATGATCTCTTTCTTCTAATTCTTAAAGATGGTTATTTAGATTTACAAAGTAGATCTGCATTACTTGCTGAATAGCCTCCATAAATCTTAGAGCTCTCTCTCGTGAATTTTCTCAATCTATTTTGTATTTCCCTCCCTACAAAAGTGTCACACTAGTGAGCAATAATTACAGTTCTTATTTTGATGTTGTTGTTTTTAAGACCGAAATTTCTGGACTTGCGCCTCAAAAGTTGACACGAAATCTCGCGACTTTGATAATAGTGCATTAAAATATCTGTTTACTCTCGGATATAATTGACAGTAATATGTTGTGTTGTCACCGTAAAAAAAGTGGGCGGGTCATGTTCTGAATACACGTGACATTTACATTTACATGTTTTTTGAGGACACGACAACAAATCATTTGTCCCAGTACACAAATAAGTAGTACGGGTGTCTGAAGTGAAAAATCGACATTGATATATTTTTGTTTACAGTCTGTGTTTGAAAGTTGATTTTAAAGGAGTAAAGTGTTGATCTTTTGAAATATATGATTATTAGGGACGAATTGGATTTTATTTAACATGAAAAAGTTTTTAATGTATTATTAAAAATACGGTTGTAATTTTAGTGAAAATGTACAATTCATTAATATGGGCCAGTGTTTAAGTTTGGATCAAGAGGAATTGAAAGCACGTGCCAAAAGTGATGTTATAGACCGACAGTTACAGTCATGGGCTAAAGAAGAGCAAAATGTCATTAAAATTTTATTGCTTGGTAAGATTCTTACTAACTATTACTTTTTCGCTCAATTAAGGTAAATAAAATGTATATTTAATTGAAATTAGATAATGGTCAATATATAATATAGAAAAAGATGTCAAAGAATTTTGATTTTCCAATTATTGGCCTACTATAAAGTGTATGAACATATATATAACATATAAACTAAAGAGGCTTTGAGACATTGATGTTGTAATGTTTCTTTTGGATGTCAATGTCATGTTTTTTTTTTTGTTTTCTATGGTCTAATTTTGATCGCTCCCATTGTAGCTTCTTTGGTAGCAACAAAAACATGATTAATTCTTCCAGCTCTTAAAGTTGGCAGTGTCTTTCTGATAAGATTTAAGGGGGTTAGCTGATAGAAAGAATATTTTGATTATCTATGTATAATGTACATGTATGTCGCAATACTGTTCTTCTTTATATTTGATAGTAAATGGTGAAACTGCTATACAAGAAAATTGTATATATGTTTTTTTTATTTAGATATTTGTTAATATAAACATGTCTACATTTCTTATTTCATGATATATCTATCAGAAAATGTTTATTTGCCATAGACTAGTCATGTTACATGTTAGTGCCACTAGTTAGGCAAAAATTACTTACCCTTCAAACTACTCCAGGAATTATTAGCCTTGGTTTAACCAGAGACATATATACACACATATATGTGTATATATGTCTCTGGTTTAATGTAGATTTCTTGTTATGTTGATAAATCTAAAGTTATAAAGACTGTGATGTTTGTGAACTTTTATTTGTCTTGCTTTTATTCTTTTGGTTATTGTTTTGTTTGTCCTAATCTTCAACTTTCACTTTTGATTGTCCCATATATGGTAACTTGAGCAGGAACACAAAATATGATGGAATCCTCTGGCCTGGCTGGAAATTCCAAACATTCATACACATGTTCATTCAAATTACAATTTACCTTTAATTAACATTCAATATAGGAAAAAGGGTTTATTGCATTTATTTTTAACAAAATAGTTTTGAAGTCCAGGAAAGAGAGGTTTTTGATTTTGACAGATACTAAGTGGCTACTTTGATTTATATCTTCTGTCAACACATTCTAATCTGCAGAGAGACTTTCACTCCCATCAAATATATCTCAATTATAATTAAAAGCTTGCATATGAAAAAAAGAGATTATTCTGTGACACACAAACAAAAAGGAAGGACAAATATGTTTAGGCAACATACCTTGGCCTACAGGCCTGATCTAACACTTAATATTTTGTTTACAAGGTAATCCAATAACCAGCATGTTTTTCTTGTTGATTAACACTGAATATACAGGTATTATTTAATCTAAAATTGACACCTCCTTGTTTATCAATGATTAAGGTCCCAATGATAGTCCTTGTAATACAGATTAGCCATTATTTGTAATAGTAACACCTTCAATATTATCTATTTCCTTACTGATTGACAAATATACATGTTTTTATATTAAATTAACTTCCATTTTCAAGTTTTTACAAGTTGGTATTAAATGTCTTTTTAATTATAAATGATTAGAAAATTGTCCCTACGAGGTTGTCATTTTAAATCTCTTTTTTCAATATTTGATTTTTCAATAGCTGTGTTTGTGTATTTTTAGTATTTAACCTTCTCCCTTTCTACTGTAGATGTTACAAAATTCTGTGAAAATCTTTAAATGTATCTGTGTTTTCCTATAAAATAAAACATATAACAGTACATGCAGCACAGGTCATGACTACAAGGGGGGAAAAGGAGAAACAAATTATAATCCTCAAAACGTATACGATTTTTGTAAAGAAGACCAAAATTAGTCTACAGAAACATTATTTTACATATAGAAAACTAAAGATGGACTGAGGTAGTCTGAAATGGTTATTGGTATCCCACTGCTGGCACCAAAGAATATATTAGTTTTTGCCAAAAAAGACCCATGCTATCATTTATGAGGTCATTTAAATTCTGTCTTTTATAAAGCAATTAAAAATGTAAATTAATAAAAGGAAATCCATGTTTAAAAAAGATGAAAAGTATATCAAAGTAACTTCTATAGTAAAGCAAGGAATAGATATTCTGAGGGGAGATTTCAATACTGCTAAATACTTTGTTGCAGTGTTTATGGTTATAATTTTGTTTTATTATTCCCATGTCAAATATAATAAATTACCGCTATAAATCAGCCGATTTTCATGAAGATTTCCTGAAGTCAAATAAGTCACATCATATGTAAACTTCTCCACTCAGTGTGAATACAATATAAGATGTTTATTCAGATAAAGTGTTGTATCACCACCTATTAAAAGTTCATATTGATGGCTGTTCAAACATTGATGGTCAGATAACACTTCTCAAGGCCTACACAATGGAGTCCATTCAGAACTATATGATTATGGTATATGGAACTATTTACATGCATTGTGGACACAGTATGATATGTTCATCATAAATGTATCATCTATAAAACCTTTTAACAAGTCTAGACACTTAGGTCTCAATCATCCCTAAGAGGCATAAATCATTCATCTTTACCTCAGATATTCAAGTTATGATTTCCAATCTGAAATAGTTTTGCTTCAGTATGTTCAGATTTTACAATGCCTGATGACTATACTGGAACAGTAATTTTGTAATGCCCACTGTATAAGATAAACAGCTCCCTCAGTTGTGATAATTTGAGGACAGGAAAAGTATTGATATACTACATGTATTTACATTTGGTTAAAGCTTTTAGGCTGAACAGTAGTGATTTGTCTTGTTATAACAATCACTCATACAAGACTATGTATGATCACACATCTGAAATTGTTATTGGTCAAGTTAAGGTCTTTTTTCCATGTGATTATATTGTTACAATCTTTAACATGAATAAAAAAGCATCTTTTGCATAACAGAATTAAGTTGTAGCTACAGAATAGATTTGATAGTTTTATCAAATTACGTTGCATACCTGAGTTTGTCTGGTACATGTATTTAACCAATTGTATAGCTGATTTAATAGTAATTTTGCCTCAGAATTGTAAATGAATATTTTTGTTGATATAAAGAGTTCACCCCATGTTTTTGTAGGGTTTTGTGTTACTCAAAGTAATTTTTTGGTAGAGTGTTTAGTTGACCATTGATTGTCTTCTCCCTTTTTATTTTGGCCATGGCGTTGTCTGTTTTTCTTAGGTTTTTATTGACCCTTTGATATTTTGTCCCTCTTTTTTTACTTCTATATGCATGTACTTTAAATATTTTATTGGTTTTGTTGCACTGTGATATAATTTCATGGTTATCAAGATTCAACATTCTTCTGATCAATATAAATGTCATTTAAAGAAGGGCACTTTAAAAAACTTTTCATTGGAGATCAAATTCAATATTGATTATTGTCAATAAAGTGTTGTCATCCTAAATGTTTTGGTAGTTTAATGGAGGACAAACTGTGACAAATGCTTTCCCTTTAGTTCATGAATACCTCATTCATAGGCTTTTTACATCTGGTGACCTTCATGACCTTGCATGATTTTTTTAATAATAACTTGTAAAAAGAATAATTTATTGCTCATGAATATTTTTGGAAATGCAAATGACAAAACTACTTTTTTGTTGCAAATGCTTATATTTCTACTTGTAAATGCACGATTTAGTAATAAAATGACTGAGAAGTAAAAACTGGACATAAAATAAGGATAAAACTTGACCTTAGATCAATTCTAACCTGCATATCAAAGTAATTAATAACATTAAATAGTATTGACTCATGCTACTTAAAATTATAAATCTTGTTTCGTACAGGTATTAACTCTGTAAAGAAGTCACTGATCAGCATAAAAGAAAATGTAATTCTCAATACATACAGGTTTAAAGACAGAGATTTTTACAAATCCTCTTGTGACTAATTTATATTTTGTAACAGATTTACTATTGTAAAAAATGAATTTTTAATACTGAGATTATATCCATAATGGTATAATAATGGCTCTTGAACAAGATTTGTGTGGGCAAAGAACCGAGAATCACATTGATCTTAAACCTGAGATTTACATTTGTCCAACAGAGGTATTGTGTTCGGTGGACAGGAAGGTCATCAATTACACAGATTTATGGTTTCAATTCAATATTCAGTATTGCTGATTATCCAAAATAAAAACCGAAATACCGGAAAAATGTAAATAAAATGGGAAACTCCTTATTTTGTCAACTTGATTACACTTGTGATAAAGGAAGAGATATGTTTGACCATGTTCAATAACATTGTAAAGTAGCATTTGTATCACTCTGTACACATTAAAGCTAACTTTTAATTACAGTTATTGTCAAAGATTTAATTAGTTGTCCTCCCTCAAAACAGTTTAATACAAGACTATAATACCAGGAGTCACCAGTAGCTGTTTGGTTGAAAAGTAATCTTTGCACACAAGTAGCTCCACCTTACTGTACATGTAGACCACCCAATGTACGATGAAAAACTTTAGAATAAAAAGTCAATATTATAACCTTGAAAAATTAAGGTTGATTTTTTGGTCCTTTTTTTTCTTTTTCTTTTTTTTTTTTAAATTTCTGTGATGATATCAATTTAAATCTAACCTGTACGCTCAAACTATTAGTATAATTTGTAGTAAGTATATATATATTACAGCCATGGAATTTGCAAGCACATCTTGTTTTTGTTAAACACTTATGTCATCTTTTAACATCAAAGAAGTAAAGTTCTGTTTTTATCTTGGATGTGGAAATCTGTAACAGTCTGGAACATCATAATCAAGAGACATGAAAAAAAGCTCTTCATTGGAAGTTTTGGCCAGTTTTTGGATTTGATATTCAGAACCACTAGGTTATAACACTGTGTGGTCTAGTAGGTACATTTTTCTGTTTTTAAACCACTGGTATTATTTTACCTGCTTGTCAAGAGCACCTTTAATGTTACCATTTAAATGTCTTAGATGATTGTTACACTGAAATTTAAGAATGATAAACACTCAGTTTAAAGATAATTTTGACTTTTTCTGGTAATAGAATATTTTTTTTGTAATTGTTTAAGTACATTTTTATTGAACATTTTCCACAGCATATTTTCCTCTGTAAACCAAGGTTTTTAATAGGAAGAAAAAAGAAAAAATATCCTTGTGTAAACTCATCTTTGAAATATTACAACTTAACATATAATTAATTCTATTTCCAATAATTGATTTTGCTGGTGCATATGTGAAAATCGTAATGATTAAAAACAAAGACAAAATTAAAAGCATGCTTTAAAAGATACATTCTTGTAATTAAAACCAAGTTTCATTTACATGTAAAAGACAGATCATTGAGGAAGGGAATATCTGGTGGAAATGTCTGAAAAAAAAATAATCCACAGGTGAAAATGCTTTGATATGATAGGTCTATTTCTAAATATTTTAATGTTATGAGAAAAAAGCTGATTAAAGGTGAAAATTTCCAAAGTAAATAGAAGATTTTATAGAATGGAATGTGTAGTATTTACCTGTGATTACCTGTAAATCTGCAGATCAAAATATTATGTAATTTTTACAAATGACATACATGTTTTTTAGTTTTCTGTTCATACTTGTCTGTTCACGATATTAATGCATATTTAAGCAAGATATTACAATATGAATAAGTAACACATCTTTTTTATGACCCCGCCGTGCATTAAGTTTTACCCTTAAGCTTTTCAGTCCGTACGTCCCAAAATTAAAAGTTTCCATTCTCTAACTTTAGTTAACCTCAACCAAATGGTATGAAATTTATACACAATACTTATTAGAACCAAACACAGATCAAGTGTGAATTTGGGTGGTGTCACTTTCACCATTTATGAGTTATGTCCCTTTATAGATGGAAAAATTGGCAAAATTTGCAGTTTCTGCAATCTAACTTTATTTTTCCTCAACCAAATGTTATGAAACTTATACACAATGCTTTTACCACCAAACACAGATCTGGTTTGAATTTTGGTGGCTTCACTTTCACCGTTTTTGAGTTATGTCCCTTTATAAATGGAAAAATTGCTTAATTTGCAGTTTCTACAATCTTACTTTATTTTGCCTGAACCAAATGTTATGAAACTTATAAAGAATGCTTATCACCCTCAAACACAAATCATGTTTGAATTTGGGCGGCATCACTTCAGCTGTTCCTTTGTAAATTGAAAAATTGCAGAATTTGCCATATATTTACAAGCATGTCCCATGGACACATTCTTCATTTATTTTAATTCTAACTTTATTCCATGTCCCTCAGTCTAAAATTTTCAAACATGGTATCTAAGAAAACATTACACTGAGACTACTTTAACACTATGTTATATTAGTCTTAGTATTACAGTAGAAAAGAGTATATAGAAAGACAAAGATGAGGGATATCATTTTTGAAATGGGGTGAACTTTTTTAAACACAAGGTGTTACTACAAACAACATGTATAAAGGAAGAAGGTACTAAATACAAATTATCTAAATATACCTAAGTAAATAAAGTTATGTAACTGCATGAATGGAGATGATTTGATGTGACAGTTTCTCAGTTTCAGTTTTGGTCTCTGGTTATTCTTTGACCTGTGCACAAGAGGTATAAATTGATGCAGGGCATTTAAATTATAACATGATTGTCTGATATAAATTAAGTAAAGGGGAATGTAATTCATTAAAATTGGGCTAGAGAATGTAGTATTGCATCAGTTGTATTTCCACTTGACAGACACATTCCAATGGCACATATTTTAAATGCTTATGTTTAATTTATGAAATGATTCTCCGCCTACATTTCCCATGTTAAATCATTCATTCATTTACAATCTGACAAGTATACCTTTGAGACATATAATGTTTATCATCATTATCTATATTTCTGTGAATGGCATTTGTTTTGTTGTAATTAAATCCATGCTTCAAAAAGATAGAATAAGACAGTTTTCATAATGTATATCTTGAATCAATGTTATTTATTTTAAACAAGGGTTTTGCTTTAAGAAGATCTATACACATTCATTGACTACTCCTTCTACTGTTGAGGTATCATCTTTGAACTTGGTGGGGGATTTTTGTCATGCCTGCAGTTCATTAGTGTTGCCCAAGTCAAATGACATAATTGAATTTAACCAAGAGTTTCACACAGGCTATGTTTTGAATTGAACTGCCTTATATTCATGGTTCATAAGGAGTTATAAGTGAAATGTCCTTAAAAAAGTCCTAAAGAAGGCATCAATTTAAAGGATGGAAAGTCTTTGACTGTTGTAATTCAAAATTCAAAGGTCTGTCAGAGAGAAGACAGCACACTTATTAAACCCCAGATTATATGCATGCATAGCATAATTTCTTTAGACCATGGACTGCATATAAGAGAATATTGGAGTTAACAAGAGAGCGAATACAATAATTGTTCTTGCCAATGTGGAATATTCTTATGCCCCCGCCACAGCAGAGGGGGCATTAAGTGTTACTCTAATGTCTGTCTGTACGTCCGTCTCTACGTCTGTATTTTCATACGTACATCCCAAAATTAGTTTCCGTTCTCTAACTTTAGTTTGCCTCAACCAAATGTTATAAAATAACAAATACAAATCAAGTTTGAAATTTGGGTGGTGTCACTTTTACTGTTCTAGAGTTGTGTCCCTTTACAAATGGATACATTCTCCATTTATCTCTCAAACATTTGTTATGTGTCTTGATATTTTTTATATGTTTGTGCTAATCTGAAACCCCAATTTGATAATATATAAATATTAATATGTTAGTGTCATTAGTTCATTTATAATGAGATTTCTTTTTATATATTAACAGGTGCAGCAGAGAGTGGCAAAAGTACTTTGGTAAAGCAAATGAAAATAATTCACCATGATGGATTTTCTAATGATGAATTAATGTCATTTAAGGTATGTTTAGAATGTGTTTTAAGACAGGAGGATGGATGGTGTTTGCACAGAGATGAATAGATCTCCTTATACATTATGGTTTCCAGAGATAGCACTGGAAGGGGTTTAACAAGTACATTAGGTCATGAAATTATATGCCGTATATCTGGTTGAAAAACTGAAAATAGGAAGGGTCTCGGTCTTGGTTGGATTTTTTTTATGTCTCTGCCATAGTTGAGGGGGCATTAAGTTTTACCCTTGTCCGTCTGTACCTACGTACATATGTCCCAAAGTTGGTTTCCATTCTCTAACTTTAGTTTGCCTCAACCAAATGTAATGAAACTTATACACAATGCTTATTACCACAAAACACAGATCAAGTTTGAATTTTGGTGGTGTCACTTTAACCGTTCTAGAGTTATGCCCCTTTACAAATGGAAAAATTGCTGAATTTTTCGTTTCCGTTTTCTAACTTCAGTTTGCCTCAACCAAATGTTATGAAACATACAAAATGCTTATTACCACAAAATACAGATAAAGTTTGAATATTTGGTGGTGTCACTTCAACCGTTCTAGAGTTATGCCCATTTACAAATGGAAAATTGCTGAATTTTTCGTTTCCATTCTCTAACTTAAGTTAGCCTCAACCAAATGTTATGAAACTTATACACAATACTTATTACACAAAACTCAGATCAAGTACAAATTTGAGTAGCATCACTTTTACCGTTCTTTAGTTATGTCCCTTTATAACTTTATATGATATGCAAGCGGGGGCATCATCTGTGTCCCATGGACATATTTCCCATTTATTAGTCCCCTACAGTCTATCTGTCTGTCCATCGGTCAGTCCAGCAAATCAGTTTTCCACACTTTTTTTCTTTGTGCTTGAAGATATTGTTTGGTATTTGGTGTAATGTTTTATCATGACAAGTTACAAATCAATTTCGAATTTTGTTCTGGTCTCATGATTTTGAGCAGAGTTATGGTCCTTGGACTTAGAATATTCACTCAAATAATCAGTTTCCGCACTTTTTTTCGTCATGCTTGAAGATATTGATTTGATAATTGATATATAGTTTTATCATGACAAGTGACAGATCAATTTCGAATTTTGTTCCGGTCTGATGATATTGTGCAGAGTTATGGCCCTTGGACTTAGAAAATTCACTTAAATAATCAGTTTTCCACGCTTTTTTTCATCATACTTGAAGATATTGACTTGATATTTGTTATATAGTTTACACCATGACAAGTTATAGATCAAGTTAGCATTTTGTTCCAGTACAATGAATTTTTAACCGGTAGGGGACTATGTATTGCCATGCAATACTCTCAGAATGCTTGTTTATTTTCATTTTTTTATGCCCCTGCTGTAGCGGAGGGGGCATTAAGTTTTACCCTTGTCCGTCTGTACGTCCATATGTCTCGCAAATTGGTTTCCGTTCTCTAACTTTAGTTTGCCTCAACCAAATGTTATGAAACTTATACACAATACTTATTACCACAAAACACAGATCAAGTTTGCATTTTGGTGGCATCACTTTTACTGTTCTAGAGTTATGGCCCTTTACAAATGGAAAAATTGCTGAATTATTCGTTTCCGTTTTCTAACTTATGTTTGCCTCAACCAAATGTTATGAAACTTATACGCAATGCTTATTACCACAAAATTCAGATCATGTATGAATTTGGGTAGCGTCACTTTTACCGTTCTTGAGTTATGTCCCTTTATATCGTTATATGCAAGGGGGAGCATAGTGTCCCATGGACACATTCTCCATTTATTTTAAATATAAAGAGAAACTACATGATTAGTTCAATGTGTAATATAATAATGAAAATCTAAGATATTGATTTGAATTACATTTTTTGGAATGAAGCTATCCAATAATGATGAGATCTTCATAAGATATTCATCTAGTAAATCAAGTAAAATGCACAGAGGCCAAAAACAATATTCTGTCAACATCTTCTGATAGATGTATGTCAGAACTTGTAATAGCCAATAGTGTAGCTCATTTTGAACTGTCATAGACTCACTAGATTTTCTTATTTTTAAGATGAAATTATAAAGAGGGTTCATTTGGTGACTGGAAACATTACATGTAAGAGTAATTTACCATACCAAACATTCTAATGAATTACTGTTAATTGAGGTAATGAAGTCTTCTTTGCCAAACAGTCTTTCATAATGTCATGTCATAAGATTGATTTGATCTTTGTCTTCTTTAATATTGGTATTAAACAAAGTAAAGCAGGAAACTGTTAAGGGTTAACATAGTCATCAGATGTCCAGTACGATTTTGATATAAATCTATTTTTGTTATATATTTTTAAGAATGGAAATATTTGACCACAAACTGAAATACAAAGATTAAAATTTTACATGTAAGGGGAAAGAGTTTGTATTGCCTGATGTCAATCTGACTGTTTTAATGTAACCTTCCAATCCATCCATATTATTGCTTGATGTCTTGTTTGTCTTTTTAAAAGTTTACAAATCAATGCTGATTATTGTTAACTGAAATCATCAAGTAATAGGATATATATGTAGCATATGTTTCTGTGTTTAGACATTGATTTTCTTTAATTTGTTAAACCTGGTTTTTTTCTCATTGAGTCTGAAAAAAGGAAATGTATAGAATATCAGATTTCTCTTTAAAACAGAAATTCTCTGTGCACATTTCATTTGATCTAATATTTTATCTATTTCTCCAGCTTGATATATATACAGTATTTTTATAATAGCTTGTAATTAATAAAACAGCCATAAAAAATTACTTCTATGGACAAGTAGTTTAAATGACTGCCTTTGTAATATTCTTTATTGAAAAGGGTTTATAATGCTTCATCCATTATGAAATACATTGGATTAATATTTAATGCAATTTTTATTTTCAAACACATTAATTTAACATGTAAATATGGGCTACCTAGTTTCATTCGCTTTGAATCCATCTGATCTATTCAATCAGAGCAGTTTTCTGGTTGAAATTTTATGTCAAGGTTTTATAAATAGATGTCTTTGATAATATTTTAATGGGGTTTTTATGGATATGGTTATACTAGCTAACAATAGTTTTATCGCTATACATTTCACAAAGGCCTTTTTTAACAATGTTGCTACCCAGTAAATCTGAATATTTGCATGATTTGAAATTTATGAACATATAAAATAGATAAAAAAATTACAGATGAAACCCATTTAAACCTAAAGTTCATAATGCTTATATATTGCAAAAGTATAGAAAGCCCAATAGTAAAATAATTCTGGATAAAAAGGCCTTTACAAGACCATTGAAAAGGTTCAGGCTAAGTACAGAGGACTGCTAGATCCTAGGTACATTAAATATGACAATCAGTTACCAGTATTACTATTTAATGGTCTCGACCCTTCATATGTCAATTGCAACTAACTCCCACATACCCCTTGTTTTAAATTGACTAGAGAAAATGCATACATTTTGCTTCTTACATGCCTTGCCTAATATAATAGGCATATTTTAAAAAAAGTATATGTATGGTTTTATTACAACCCTACGAGTGGAACATTTTGTAAAATGTACAATGGCGGAGGTGAGGAGACAAACAGATACATTTTGTATGTGCCTGTCCCAAGTCAGGAGCCTGTAATTCAGTGGTTGTCGTTTTTTGCTGTATTTCATATTTGTTTTTCTTTCATTATTTTGTACATAAATCAGGCCGTTTAAGTTTTCCTCGTTTGAATTGTTTTACATTTGTCATTTCCGGGCCTTTTATAGCTGACTGGGCGGTATGGGTTTTACTCATTGTTGAAGGCCGTATGGTGACCCATAGTTGTTAATTTCTGTGTCATTTGGTCTCTTGTGGAGAGTTGTCTCATTGGCAATCATACCACATCTTCTTATTTTATAATAACTATTACTAACTTTTTGTTTACAATGTATAAGTACTGTACATAACATTTATACATTTAAATAAGTATAACTGAATGTACTAATGCATTGTCACAAGAGTTAAATAGTATCTTTTTGTAGGCTCATGTCGGCCAGTGTAAAAATGGCTTATCTCTAACAACAGTTATATATATATACCAGTACATAGAAAGTAAATGGAATATGTCAGGGAATAAATCCTCCTTATTTACATGGATCATACAAATATTTTTCATACCATAAATGACATGGTAGATAATACAATATAATTAACCTGTCAGGTAATACGTAAAATTGTCACCTACTCGTCATGTCATATATGTTATTTATATATACTGTTTTCTAATAAATAGTAATAACATAAACATGTAATAGATATTTGTAAGAGAACAGTTAGAATACTAAGGGATATGGTCCCAAAGTGTAGTGTACACAGAATACTAAGGGATATGGTCCCAAAGTGTAGTGTACACAGAATACTAAGGGATATGGTCCCAAAGTGTAGTGTACACAGAATACTAAGGGATATGGTCCCAAAGTGTAGTGTACACAGAATACTAAGGGATATGGTCCCAAAGTGTAGTGTACACAGAATACTAAGGGATATGGTCCCAAAGTGTAGTGTACACAGAATACTAAGGGATATGGTCCCAAAGTGTAGTGTACACAGAATACTAAGGGATAATTATTAGTCCCAAAGTGTAGTGTACACAGAATACTAAGGGATATGGTCCCAAAGTGTAGTGTACACAGAATACTAAGGGATAATTATTAGTCCCAAAGTGTAGTGTACACAGAATACTAAGGGATATGGTCCCAAAGTGTAGTGTACACAGAATACTAAGGGATATGGTCCCAAAGTGTAGTGTACACAGAATACTAAGGGATAATTATTAGTCCCAAAGTGTAGTGTACACAGAATACTAAGGGATATGGTCCCAAAGTGTAGTGTACACAGAATACTAAGGGATAATTATTAGTCCCAAAGTGTAGTGTACACAGAATACTAAGGGATATGGTCCCAAAGTGTAGTGTACACAGAATACTAAGGGATAATTATTAGTCCCAAAGTGTAGTGTACACAGAATACTAAGGGATATGGTCCCAAAGTGTAGTGTACACAGAATACTAAGGGATAATTATTAGTCCCAAAGTGTAGTGTACACAGAATACTAAGGGATATGGTCCCAAAGTGTAGTGTACACAGAATACTAAGGGATATGGTCCCAAAGTGTAGTGTACACAGAATACTAAGGGATATGGTCCCAAAGTGTAGTGTACACAGAATACTAAGGGATATGGTCCCAAAGTGTAGTGTACACAGAATACTAAGGGATATGGTCCCAAAGTGTAGTGTACACAGAATACTAAGGGATAATTATTAGTCCCAAAGTGTAGTGTACACAGAATACTAAGGGATATGGTCCCAAAGTGTAGTGTACACAGAATACTAAGGGATAATTATTAGTCCCAAAGTGTAGTGTACACAGAATACTAAGGGATATGGTCCCAAAGTGTAGTGTACACAGAATACTAAGGGATATGGTCCCAAAGTGTAGTGTACACAGAATACTAAGGGATATGGTCCCAAAGTGTAGTGTACACAGAATACTAAGGGATATGGTCCCAAAGTGTAGTGTACACACAGTGCATTGTAGGGACAGTCAAATATTTCACAAAATATTTTAAAGATTTACGACTCAGGTTGCATCTTATATTGTAACTAAACTTTTAAGAAACTTTAGCAACCATTGTTTTATTTGTAATAGTGACAATATCTTCATAAAAGACACACTTTCTTTTAAAAAGTTTTGAAATCTCCACCAGTTGTCTGTCACTTGTTTCTCTTGGTTAAAAATTCTGCTGTAAAAAAATTTCTCCCTTCCATAATGAACATTTCCATGTTTGGAAAATTCTCTTTGAGAACTCAATTTATTGTAAGCTCACTAAAAAGGTTCAGGTACCATACTCAATTGATTTTCTACTAGCTGCTTATGTCACAGGATGTCATATCTATACATTATTAGCTAGATCTTAATAGAATGTATCTAAAATTGAGAATGGAAATGGGGAATGTGTCAAAGAGACAACCCGACCATAGAACAGACAACAGCAGAAGGTCACCAACAGGTCTTCAATGCAGCGAGAAATTCCCGCACCCGGAGGCGTCCTTCAGCTGGCCCCTAAACAAATATATATACTAGTTCAGTGATAATGAACGCCATACTAAACTCCAAATTGTACACAAGAAACTAAAATTAAAAATAATACAAGACTAACAAAGGCTAGAGGCTCCTGACTTGGGACAGGCGCAAAAATGCGGCGGGGTTAAACATGTTTATGAGATCTCAACCCTCCCCCTATACCTCTAGCCAATGTAGAAAAGTAAACGCATAACAATACGCACATTAAAATTCAGTTCAAGAGAAGTCCGAGTCTGATGTCAGAAGATGTAACCAAAGAAAATAAACAAAATGACAATAATACATAAATAACAACAGACTACTAGCAGTTAACTGACATGCCAGCTCCAGACTTCAATTAAACTGATTGAAAGATTATGTCTTCATCATATGAATATCAGGCACAATCCTTCCCGTTAGGGGTTTAGTATCATACCATCATAACATATATGAGAAGAACATAACCCGTGTCATGCCAACAACTGGTTTTTAAATAAATGTGTTTAGTGCCGATGCAAAGACCCTATAAGTGAATCAATATTAACGCCAAAATATGCAATCTTTAATGACCTGACAACAGTATCGTAACTATATCCCTTCTTGATAAGTCTATTTAAAGGTTTTGTTAGTTTCAGAGGTGAATACTGACATTTTTGTGCTTTATAAAGAATATTTCCATAAAAAATTGGATGTGATATACCTGAACGTATAAGAAGTCTGCATGTTGAGCTATATTTACGAATGATGTCCTTATACCGATGATAAAATTTAGTAAATGTTTTGACTAGTTTGTGATATCGAAAACCCTGGTGTAATAATTTTTCAGTAATACATAAATTTCTCTCGTTAAAATCTAAAACATTGTTACATACACGAGCGAATCGTACAAGTTGAGATATATAAACACCGTAAGATGGTGACAAGGGAATCTACCTATTTGAGAGATCTCTATAAATTTTATTTTTGTGTTATGTTGTATTTGAACTCGACAGCTCTTTTAATGGCTTACGCTTTATGAAATACCAAAGTCATTAACAGATGAGATTCCATGAAGCAGACTGTGTACTCAGACCATGAGACAAACTTAATCTTTTATGGTGAAACACAATGTAAAATATTAAATTTTTCAAAGTTTCTTGTAGTGACTGGATGCATTTGTTCGTATTGTGGTTTTAGAACAAATACACCCACCTTAAAAGCAATACTTAATAGAAATATTGGTTACGTAATGATACCATGATATAATATGAGAAATCTTCTGAAAAAGTTTTGAGATCCAAAGATAAGCAACACATTATATCAAACCACATGAGTTTAGCCCAATGCATTATGTGCTAATGAATTTCACCTGGATATTTGTTTACTAGTCAAACAAACTCATGATTAAATTCCATAAAAAAGTGAAATGTTAAGATTAAAAATCGGAAGTCATATAGTTGGCTATCAATGTCATATCGATCAATCATTTATTTAAATTCTGTGTAAAAATATGATTAAAAAAAAAGTTTTATGATTTAGAACTACTTTACCAGAGTAAATATACCCTTCAGGCATTACTAGAACAGGTTAACTTATTGCAATAAATATTCGATAATATTTTTATTTGTTATCAAAAGTCTGCACTATTTTTAGTAAGATTACTGTCTGTAGGTAAGACAAACTTTTAAAAATATGATTGGACAAGAATATGTTTTTACCTGGGGATATTATCTATACACACCTACGTTAATATTTACCTGGCCTAATTACTAATGGTTCTGTGGTTTCATTGATGAACTTACTATGATAATTAACATTGCTGACCCTTTATTCAAATTTTGGTGGTTTTTTTTGTGGTATTTATGTAGCTGATGAAAGACATGACAAGATTGTCAATTGTTTAACTGTCTAAATGAAGGCCAAGACAGACATGTCATATTCAATAAATATCTATAAGATCTATTTAAATATAATAAATAGAGGAGTGTTGAATGATTAATATTTAATTAATAGAATACTGTTAGATCTATGACCATTATATGGCAAATATAGTATGAATTTATGATTATAGATTCCTGTAATATATGTCAGGATTAACATTTTGGTTTATGATTATCTTAAAAGTTAGTCCTAGAGATCTCTGACTTCTGGAGGACCCCAGCAAGTCCCCAAAAAGGCTGCCCCGCTTCAGAGCAATCTCTGACTTAACTGAATGATGTGGATCAGATGCTATCATTTAGACATTGTTCAGTATCGAAATAGTAAAGGTTCTGAGTTCTATGTCAAGTTCAGTATTAAGATTCTGAAAAGTGGATATTCAGGAACTTTGGCTGTCACAGGAATATGGGGCATGTGGGGTTATACTGAATTCTCTCCTTTACAATTGAAAATATTCTGACAGAAGCATGGTAAATTTTGGGTCCTGACATTAGGTCTTTTAGAGCAAGAATGTTCAGCTTTATGAATTACAAAGGTTTTCTTATTTAATATTGAAGATTGAATGTCTACAATGAGTTTCTGAAAATGTGTTTTAGGTAGTTGGGCACAAGAACTGAGGCTAAAGACAAATTAGGATCCCCACATGAGTGTATATCTTAATGAATATTGATACGAACAAGAGTAGTGTTTTATTAACCCATAAACTTAATTATTTACTCTTTTTTTTTTTATTGAATAATATTGGTATTTTTTATTTTATATAATGTACGGTAATTTTTGCATCATAATCAGTAACATTTTTTTCATTACAGCCAGCAGTCCTAGATAATTTACTGGGTTCAATGAAGTATGTCCTGACAGGAATGGGACTGTTACGTATTAATCTGGAAAATCCTAAATACAGAGTAAGTCAGCACATGATTTTCATTTGAATATAAAAAATAAGAAGATGTGGTATGATTGCCAACGAGACAACAATCCACCCGATATCAAAGGGCGTAGATGTTAGCAACTATGATAAAGTTGCCCTATACAGCCTTCAACAATGAGCAAAACCGATACCACAATGATTTGGACTAAAGTAGAAACAGAATTAAGAGGCATTATCCTCTGATATAGTTATACAGCTTTCATGCTAGCAGATTTTTATCAGATATCTATTTGGTTTAATTTTGTACATTTGTAGGAACTTAAGTTGAAAGTTGACCATACACTTCTTTCATCCCCGAAGGTATATCTTAAGCTTTCCAAAATTTTGCTTCTGAATGTTTCTGGTAAATGCTGAAATGTTATCCAGAAGAAAACTTAATAAACACCAATTTTATTATTTTGTATGCTGAAGTTTGAATTTGGATTGATAAATTCACATTTTATACAATATTTTACATGGACTATACATAAATTAGATTGTAACTCTGTGACTATTTCAAAGCTTATACACTTTTGTATGCATCTATTTTATATATACTGAATTTGGTTGTGTTATATTTATGGCCGAATTATGGTAATTGCAAAGTTTATGTAAAAAAGATGAATTTTAGGGACATTTGTCAATTTTTGAAGACTTTTTTGGTTGAGTTCATTTCTCCTTCAATTTAAATGACAATACCTCACATCAACAATCCTCTCAAACAACACCACTCAGTTTACAATTAACAATATATATTGTATTATGTGTGGAAAAGTCAAGATAAATGGATAACAATGTTTAACTTAAAGAAGAGTAGACCAAATTACAAATTAACCAGATTAAATTCACTGTTACGATGGATAAACCCACCAGGAACAATTTGAATGTAACAATTTTATCCAGTTAACATGTTTACAAGTCCTTTTGTTGATGTAACTTACACCACATACGAGGAACCTAATTCTATCTTTGTATACAACTTTGTGGACTCTAAATTGAAATTTAATAGGAAAATTAAGCCCCTATATATTTCTTAAGATATTACCAAAATTGTATAGATCTTTCAATTTTAGTAAAGTGACAATGAAGTTATTGTTGTGTATCCTACAAATCTTCTGCTGTAAAACAATTCTGTTTTTATTGTGTCAAGATTATCAGGATAAGATAGGTCTCAATGACTTTTTATTTTTGTTTGTTGGATTATAATGTCATGAAAATCTCTTTTGAGTACTTGAAAATTATGAAATTTAGTTTGTAATAAAACCATTAATAGGTTTAACAATGTTGTGTTAAAACCACATTAAAGAGTAGGGTTAATTAGACTATCTTTGATAGGATAAAGATATTTAGATTTTTTTTTACAAAAATGTACAGAATGTTAATCCTTAGTACTGTTGACTTTTGAATTTTTTGTATCTGAATGAGAAAGGAAACTCAATAAATTGTTATCTGTTACGTTTGTTAGGATAAGGTTCCTTTTATTTGTTTTAAAGTGTAGCGAAACCTTTTAATTTACTGTGTAATATTCATTGGACAATTGCTTGTCTTGGACAGTTCTTCTGACTTCTGATAACCTCCACAGTATCTCCAGTTTGTTCCCCATAAAACCAATGCTTCTGATTTAGAGAAAAAAAAGGTTAGGAAATTTAGTTTCGTGAAAATAAAATCATTATACACTTGAAACTGAATTCATATAGAACATGGTGAATTAATTATGATATTGTCATACAATATGGGCATTTGACCATCATAGCAGAAACTTCTAGATGATAAAGAAATAGAGAACTGGGGGATACCTCCATGAGATATTAACCCAAGGACAATTCATCTCCAAGATATATAGAAGCTAACAAATAGTCTTTAACAATAAACAGGTGTCAATACAATTTGTCAAGCTCAGAATTGCCCAGAGTCTAAATAAAGTTGTGAATAAATTAAATAGTTCAAATTTCTCCAATCATCACCAAATTCCCCAAATAGCAAAACATTAAGATATGACATAAAACAACTACATGCTATGTTGATACTGGTACTGTTTGATTGTTATCCTATTGAAATTTATATCATATTTACATATTTTCAGGAATTATACAGTAAATATGCACCCAACTTTCAAAAATAGAAAACTGAAAAACACAAAGAATTACATTATAATAACTGTTAGTGTTATTCAGCTGTAGTATCATCTCTTCAAACAGTTAATAGATATAGGAAGATGTGGTATGAGTGCCAATGAGACAACTCTTCATCCAAGTTACAATTTATAAAAGTAAACCATTATAGGTCAAGGTACGGCCTTCAACACATGGCATTGGCTCACACCTAACAGCAAGCTATAAAGGGCCCCAAAAAATTACTAGTGTAAAACCATTCAAACGGAAAAACCAACGGTCTAATCTATATAAAAACGAGAAACACGTATGAACTACACAAACAGACGACAACTACTGTAATCAGATTCCTGACTTAGGACAGGTGCAAACATTTGCAGCGGGATTAAACGTTTTAATGGTACCAAACCTTCTCCCTTTTCTGAAACAATAGTATAACATCACAACATAGAAAAACACACTATAAAATATCAATTGGAAGGCTTAACTGAATCAAAAAACGTATGAACTTTTAGGTTTGAAGGTAGGGACAATTTAGATTTTGACCAATTAATATCAATTAGATTCAAAATTAAGTTTTTACATTGTTTTTATTCAGAATTGTCCGGACAGCTCTAAAATTTCAGAAAATAAAAGAAAAAGTTTGGAGCATAGAATCAAATAGAGACTTAACAGAAGTCAAAAATAAGATTCCCAAATGTTTCAAAACTGACTGCATTTTTTATAAAGCTTAAACACTTTTACAATACTTGAATTATAGTTACTTCCATTTCTAACATTAACATTTCATGCCTTGAATTAAATTTTTGTTATTATATTAAACATTTCAGTCTCATGCAGAAAAAGTCCTCACCTGTATCTGTTGTTTTGATAAAAAACAGAACATGTATCAAGATGTATATGCGTCACTGAAATACCTGTGGCAGGACCGAGGGGTACGACTGGCTGTGTCTCGAGGTTATGAATATGAACTGAATGATTCGGCTATATAGTAAGTATTACAGCAAGGAATGATTACTATGTTCTATTACATGGTACAGACTTGCTGTTTGATGGTCCGGAAATATTAACATGTACCATTTGAACTTTCATTTGAGAATTGGAGTTTTATAAATGTTATTTTGATAAGATTGAGGATAACACTATCAGTATTTGTCCTCATACTGAAAAGATCTATTTTTCAAACAAGCAATATCTATTGTTAACATGTAAGGAGTTGGTATAGCTTACACATTAATTTTGTTAGGACGACAGTTTGCATAAGTGGCCTTTTTGGATTTACAATTGCCTGTCTTTTTAAAAATGTTGCATGTGAAATATGTTTCCTTAATTTGTTGGACATAATGTATCTCAGTTTCTTACACACATTTCAAAATCAATTGTCCAGGAAGTATATATTAATGTTTTAATATTTGTCTCATTGCTCATATTGCACATAATGATCCATCATGGCCTTCTTATTAGTAATTGAAACCTTGAAACCTCATAAATTCCTAAAATTTAATAGTTTATAATTTGATGATGAGGAAGAAAATCCTTCACAAATATAACCTTAATCTATTATCATATTTCCTTACTTCCATATAATTCTACACAGCACATTGGAAAATCCTGTGATGTTACCAATATCAAGATCTATTCAGGATAATCTGTGATGTCATAATGTTTTTACCAGATGATTTTATGTTGGACCCATCTTTATCATGGCAATTTTCTAAAATATTGAAATACCTGTGTTTTGGACCAAGAAAACACTGAAAACTGTAAAAGAAAGAGATGGACAGTTTTCTCTAATGCATGTACTGTGTTTGTGTTTCTGACATCAAATTTACATTGTGAATACAATGAAAGATGCACACATTTCATTGTAAAGTTGTGTAAATACATTTGATAAGCTTTTTTATAGACAACTATGCTAACTATTTAACTTGGTCCCTATAGATTTTTAATGTTGAGAATAAGGTAAATGAATCCATCACAAAACTTCATTAGACGATGCTTAAAGTAACCATAAAGCCATCAACTTTAAATATTAATTAATGATTCATTGTAAACACATCAAACCAAAACTAGAGAATCTTCTGATATATAGGATGTAACTCAGTGATTAAAGGTAATCAAATTCCAGGTAAAAACAATCAATAAAATGACATAAACAGGTAAAAAAAGAATTTTAATGATTCATCTTGAATAAAAGTTAGTAAAGACAATTTCTACCAGGTGTTTCCTTTGTTTTGATCACCTGTTAGACAAAAGATAGATACTTATATCTGTTAGGCAAAATTCTTTTGATCTTATCACCTGGTACAGGTGTGAAGTGTTTTATTTGTATATATTGAAATGTTACCTACAATTAAGTGGACCATTGAATGGTCATTCATGTTGAACTTGAGATAATCCTAACTATGAGGATCCGATGACCTCAGTTTTTAAGGATAAATATAGTAAGGTATATTGCTGATTTCATGTCTGAGTGTTCTGTCAAGTGATGTGAAATTTTGAAATATATCTTTTACTTCAAATTTAAATGTTCAACAGAATAAAATTTTTCTATAGGCTTGTTTACAGACTTTGGAATCAACGACAAAATCAAATATCCATGAAAAGTCCATTTTTCCTTAATCTACGAAAAAAATAAATGATCGATCAACAGTAGATAAGAGAATTAAAGGATATGGGAAAGTGAACCTCATTAAACAAGTCTAAAAAATATCATTACTAACAACTGATAAATGGGTAAAAAATGGTGCATTCATAACTATGTCATGTTTACCTTCCAAATTGTTGTGAGGTCATTAAATATCCCAAATAATGAATATATTAAGATAAAATTACAAGGTCAACATTTCTATATCACATTGACCTGAAAGTAGATATGTTCAGGTTGAGGGAACTTGTACATTACATTTAGGTCATAAAATATTAGGTGCATTGACTCTGGGGCCATTACAGACTTATTAATTTGAAGTGTAATTGGTAAATATATATATGAGATGGTCTTATTTTTGCAAGGTAAAATATTGAACTGTTTTGTGTCTTCTTGCACCAAATAGCAAGTTCAAGATAGTACCTTCTAGTCGGGGTTAAGTCTAATTTCACTGAGAATATACTATGGTGTGACCCATCATGGGTCTAAGAACATTAATAATGAAACAAACTCCCATTAGGCAACTAAAAAATATCTGGAGTTTAGCTTTGTGCAAACACAGATGTAGGAAAATTGGGCTGTGTGTCAATAAGTCATCATAACCCAACAACTACAAAAAACCCAAGAGATATGCATTTATAGTTTCTTTTGATGAGTATAAATATGACAAAGATTAAAGAAAAGTAATGGAAACATGAGTTTAAAGTTGATGAATATATAGCTGTTGGTGACATTTATATTTCATGTAATACATGTATACCACACATATTTACAGATAAATTTATATTACATCATACTATAACAATATATTATAATATGTATAATGCATAAAGATAGGTAGGAAAACATTTTAATTAATGACTTCAGATGCAGGATTTTATGATTGTACAAGCCTCGATGGTCTTGTGGTAACGTGTTCACCTCAAGTGCGGGAGGTCGTGAGTTTGAAATCCAGCTGGGTCAAGCCAAAGACTATAAATTGGTATTTGCTGCTTCTCCTCTAAACATGTGGCATTAAGAAGTAAGAGCAAAGACTGGGTCTAGTAAAAAGCTGGAACTATATTCATATTATATTAATATGTTCTCATCTAAATATGCATTTAATTTGCGACTGGACGTTAAGCAGCCATCCATCATCATCATCATCATATGTATTGGAATTATGTGATATATCTTAAGCATTTATAAAGGGTAATGAAACATATGTTTAAATTTGTGTTATCTCCAGTTTTCTAGGAAAAATCTGAACTAGAAAATGTAAAATATGTTCAATTTGCCATTACAAGTGCATCATACATATATGCGATAAATTCCAATAATACAGTTAAACTTATGTCACCTTCTGGAAACAGCTAGTATAGTATAGATATATATTGATGATGTAATATTATTATGTCTTAAACTTAACTATTATATTTTACAGTTACTTTGAAAATATGGACAGAATTTGTCATCATAACTTTGTACCTAATGCCAAGGATGTTCTGCGAGCCAGAGTACGCACAACTGGAATCTTAGAAACATGTTTTAAGATTAATAACTTTGTTATACGGTAGGTATAATGACATTAACTTTGAACATGTAATGAAGCAAAGTGAAAACATTTTATTTGGTTGGTTCCCTTAGCTCTTTATCTACCACTGACGGATATATACGCGGTTTTTATCATCGTTCTGTTCGCAGTGACTGATAAATCCGCTTGCATAATCAAGCGTGTATTCGCAGTGACTGATAGATCGGCTGTAAACATACACTTGCGCAGTCCCAGTGACGGATATTTCCGTAAAATATACCACAAAAACTCGTTAGATTGGACAAAACTGTTGGGGAATCCCGAAATGAACCAATGAAATTCGGTTTTACAAATGAACAATCTTTCTACTCGTACATTCCTTTTCTATAAAAAGTGTGTGTTTACATTTAATTATGATGAATTTTACACGTGTTCGGAATGCGATTAAAACAATGGCGGATGAATGGGCTCCTTTGTTCAAATCGTATAGCGAAAGTGAAGAATTTGAAGGATTTATGCAATTAGAAAGCAAAATTGGAAGTATAGGAAGGGATAATTTAGCTTGTCGGAACAAGATTACGAGTCTTCAGAGGATGAAGAAGCCAAACATGGACAAATAATTTGAAAACTTTTAATGTCCGTTTACGGCATCTTTCAAGCTTGATAATGAAAAGAAAGAAATTGATTTGATATTTGTTTCATTTTTCAATTAATATACAATAAATACTCATTAATTAAACATTTAATTAGAGTACTTATAACACAGCCTTAACACTTTGTGAAAAATTCTCTCACTGCAAATTATCTCTGGTAGTTAACCTACAATTCAGCTGCAGTAGCTAACTAATCAGCAGTGTGAAGTAGTGAACTGTAAAGGTACCTGTGGTAGATAAGAAGTTAGTGAACAAAAAGTAGAAAACAAAAAACCTGTTTGACTTTACAATATGTTTCAAATGACAGGTATAGCAGTGAACTTTTCTGAATACAGAACCTAATACTTTGTAAGTCTATAATTTCTGTAAAGATCAAGAATTGTTTCACATTTTTTCATGTCCTGACCTTTTATAGCTTACAATACAATATGAGTTTTGCTTATTGTTGAAGGCCGTACAGTGACCATCTGTGTCCTTTGGTCTCTAATTGATACTTGTCTCATTAGCAATCATACCACATCTCCATCCCTATTCTATATTGGACTATGCACTTTTAGCCCTTATGGTATTAAAGATACCTCATTAATGTTCTCTTTTGATATTCAATTATCCATCAACTTATGGTGTTAATTAACTGTTTTATTTTATATACTGTAAATTCAGAAATTATTGCGAGGTTTTTATTAATGCAAATAATGCGAATGGGTGTGTATCGCAATAATATCAACTCCCATTCTGAATTTGTTACAAATATCTGTATGCAGATTTTCCTGAAATCGCAATAATTTATCTCACATTTTTGTCTATTGTTAAAAAATCGCAAAATAAATGCACACAATAATTTCTAAATTTAAAGTATTCAATATTGGGCTTTTTTTATATAGATTAAACCGTTGGTTTTCCCGTTTGAATGGTTTTACACTAGTAATTTTTGGGGCCCTTTATAGCTTACTGTTCGGTGTGAGCCAAGGCTCCATGTTGAAGACCGTACTGTGACCTATAATGGTTTACTTTTATTACTTTTGACTTGGATGGAGAGTTGTCTCATTGGCACTCATACCACATCTTCTTATATCTACTTTCAATGTTTTGGGATGTGAACATTCCTAATGGAAAAAGTACTTTAAATGTTGCACATTCCCTTGGTGTGGTGAAGGACTATATGCCTTCATTCCAAGGCTAGACAGTGTGTCCTTTGAGTAGACCAAAGTATTTAATCATGTTAAAGCAAATCTTATTTATCTAATAAAACAAACATGTGACATTATTATGTGCAGATTTAAATGCCATGTAATTAAGATATGTCTGTCTGTTACAACCATGTGGTGACAACAATAAATTACGTAAACGAAACATTAGAAATTGTGTTTTGTAGTACAATATTTCCTGGTTAGATTGACTTTCTCACAGTGCACGTAATGTAAACATTTGTAAGTCTTGTTACGTCAGTGATGAAAGAGTTTAAGGATTGATAAAAAACTTCTTATTATGTAATATGTACTTATTGTTTAAAGTAGACATATATAGAGAATATACATAGAATACATGCTGTAATAGGTAGCAAGTTTTGTATGTATATGAAAACAATTGGGATACAACAACAAAACAAAACGAGATACTTTACCAATAGTTGACACAGCTTGGGCAAAATCTGTACAACATTATACAGGATGTAAATATAACAATAGACTAAGCAATAGTCAATATAATACACCACAGAGAAAAAAAAACGGGTAACAAAGAACAAATTAAAATGAAATTACGTAAATATGTAAATGTATATAACCGGAAATTCACTAGAATCCTCTTAATAATCACACATGGGAGTCACATCAGTCATTAATGTGAGAAGATTAATATGAAATATCATGTGTTTAATGAAGTGAGTAGGAATAACCTACCTGTGAGCATCGAGAAAGGGGAAATATTAAAGTTATAAAAAAATTGCATGCAAATATCTGTTCAAAACGATTTTTTAAATGAAAACAATTCCAACATACAACAACATGCCATTAATTACTGTTGGAAATATACACATCTGTCAATCTCCTTCCCCTTAGCTCAGAGTTGAACTGCTATGTCAAAAATCAGTCTGATGCTACTTTGCACTCTTACTTAGTACTCTTACTTGGTATGCTAACCTCACCTTCAGTGGCGGATCCAGAAATCTTCATAAGCCCACTGACTGCCCTAAGAGGGGGCCCGCTCCAGTCATGCTTTAGTGATTCCCTATATAATCAACCAAATTTTTCCTACAAAAAAGGGGGGGACCTGGATCCTCCTATGACCTTGATGGTTTAATGGACACTTTCATTCAATAGGGAAAAAATAAATACCTTAGAACAAATTATTTAGTTTTGGTTTTGAGCATTCCTCATGAAGATCAAGCTAGACAATTGCTGCAGACACACCAGATTTATATAGTATAAAAATAAGGAGATGTGGTGTGCTAGATAAAGAGACAACTATCCACCAGAGATCAAATGGTATAGATGTCAGCAACTATAGGGTAGGGTACAGCTTTTTAACAGTGAACAACTCTAATATCTTATAGTCAGTGCTAAGTTTATTATATACTGAATATTAAACTTTACAATGTATGTGTTGCTATAATGTTCTTATGATTTGTTTCAGCATGTTTGATGTAGGAGGTCAGAGGTCAGAGAGGAGGAAGTGGATCCATTGTTTTGGGGATGTAAAAGCTGTGTTATTTGTGGCAGCATTAAGTTGTTATGATATGTACTTGTTTGAAGATCCTGATGTGGTTAGTTTACTACTTGGTTTATTATTTAATGGGATTTTAGATTTATATGAAAACTGATGAGTAGAATTTTGGGTGCTAGACCTTAAAAAATGGCATCCAATATGATACTGTAAATTCAGTAATTATTGCGTGCATTTATTATTGCGATTTTTGAAGAATTAACAAAAATGCCAGTTTAATTATTGCGATTTTAGGAAAAGCTACTTACAGATATATGTAAGTAGCTTTTCCTAAAAATATATTTGATATCAGAGTTCTTATTATTGTGATACTCAAGTAGTCGCATTATTCGCATTAATAAAAACCTCGCAATGATTAATTTCTGAATTTACAGTAATCGGGAAAAAATAATTATGAATAAAGAAGACTGTACTTTCAAATCATTTAGTCAAGACAAACTTTAGATACAGGAAGTAGACGGAACATAGATTGATGTTAAAAATGTCTGAAAATTGGTTTTTATACTACAAAAATAATAAAACAGACAAAAATTACAAAAAGGACCATGCCATACTCTATACATTGAATGTAATTATATTATTTTTGTAAAAGATTCCTTAGAATAAGTACTTTTTATTAATAAGAAAATGCATAATTAGTTTAGAAATGGGTAAAAGAAGTGAGGCACATCAGCAGAATAACATATTGTTCTAAGGGAGATAATCCCAACTGACAAAAAGAAGAAAAAACACAATATTTCAAAAGGTTGCTATATAATTTATTATTTTTTAGAATCGACTTGAAGAAAGTTTGAATTTATTCAGAGGTATCTGTAACAATAGGTTCTTCAGGGAGACTTGTATGGTAAGTTTATAATATGTAGTTTAAGGTTAGATTTTAAAAATGATCTTTGGCTAAAATTTGTATCTAATATTGATACTATTTACATCACTGTTTTGTTGGTGTCAATACATCTATATAATCATATTTTCATGGCAACTACAAAGTTTTTTGAGAAGTTGCTGCAGTAGCTTAGATTGTGGTATCATTTCAAATCTGAAGTAGGGTTTGGTTTATTATGACTGAAGAAGATTTTGATTTCTAACAATTTTCTATAAATTTAAGTGCCATTAAACTCATGTTTGATGATTACATGTCCTGATTAAAAATAGCTACCTTAAAACTAAATTCTATAAAATTTCAATACAAAATTGGTAAGGGTAAGCAGAGATCATTGATTTTAGGATACTATATTTAAAATGAAATAGAAAATGTCAGACTTTGAAATAAATGATAGCTGAAAATTCTTTTAAACTTTCAAGAAATTTGGGAATAAGTTTTGGTCTGGTTTATTTTGTGTATGACAAATTCTTCCTTTTTATCCTTGAATGAAATAAGCTATATTATTGTGTACCATTTATGTGGAAAAAAACTGTGACTCTCAAAGTACCCAGAAAAGTGGATATTGAAAACAGATATTCATAGTTGTTGATTTGAAAGTCTTGAAAAAAATTACAGGTTACAAAAGCACAATTATTTGCAATGAATTTTCTATAGGATGTTTTATTTCTTGAAGACAACACAAACTAGAAAAAAATTAGCAACAGTTCCTGTTACTAGAAATATCAGCGTTGTATAACCGTCAAAAAAATATTTATGGTCATGCGGCAAAAGTTTACTTAAAATGCAGTTGAAAAAAAATGTATATATTTCGCTGTAAGGGAAAGGCAATATTTTAATGGCTCTTTTGTATATATATTCAATATTACATTTTCTACCCTTTGTAAATTAAAAAAATATATATTTTTTATTTTTAAATCTAAATGGATAAGCTTTTGATGAGAAATACTTCCAACCCTGTATCATCCAATCATAAGCTGCACAAGATTTTATTCTGAGTACCACCTTGGAGTAAAAAACTTGCTGGTAAAATGTAAAACAAATAATTGCTCTCTTGTAACCTACAAACATCATCATTAATTTCATGTAGTATTGCAATGAAGTTATTTCTTTATATAAGTGAAATAAGCACATTTAAAACATTTGTCAGGGGAAATAAGCACATTCATTTCAGCTGTCAGGGAGCAAAATAAGTTTCTTGGAGAGACTTTACTTTTGCATTGTCTTTAGTTCATACAAACTTATAGACCATACCTTTGGAACATTTATGGTCAAGGTAAATGGTCTTTCTTTTGTTTATTGATTTGTTTGAAAAATATTTTATCTGTTTATTTCAGATTTTATTTTTGAACAAAGTGGATCTTTTTAAAGATAAAATACGCCATTCTGAGAGACATCTGAGGAACTTCTTTCCTGATTATCGAGGTTGGTATATACATTTTGTTTAGCTTACCTGTCCAAAGGGTCAGTTTTCAGCTATTGCCATCACATGACATCATTGTTTTCAATATGTAATCTTTATTTAAAATCTTCTTCAAAACCACTTTTCTTCTGGAAATTAAACTAAATCACAAATAACTTAAGTTTTTTCTGGACTGTTTTTAACGAAAGTATGTCTGCTGTTACTAAACAAAGGAATGCATTGAATTATTGCCTCTCCAAAGACCATCTGCTGATGGGGACCCCCAATTTTTTTTTTTTCTGCATTGCGTTCCAAAAAGATTTCATTTCAATTAGGGACTGGAATGGCTGTAAATGACATATGATGTTATACACATTGTTTTTATTTGGTGAAAACAATCAGATGAAGTAGGTTAGGTTATGTATGGGAAATTAGGGTTGCATAAAATAATTGATGATTGGTGATTGCTGTAGGTCACAGCAGCTCAAAAAAGGCCATATTGTGGGAAAATGAGAATTTGTTTGGAATGCTTGTAGATATTTTTACATGAAAGTCACATGGAATTCCTTATTGCCTAATTTGTAGAAATTATAAATAAAGAATATTTGTACAAAATTACCAACATGAGAGGAATAAAAAACACATAACACACCTGTAGAAAAATTGAATATATCAGACGATAAATTATTTAGCAAGGCAAATAAACAAACACTTAAAAAACATTTGGACCATTGACAATAAATATTTAAGAACCAGATGGTACACATTTTAGTTCCCCAGAAATCTTAAATATGTACACAGAAAAGGGATATTTAAATGTGTCCAATGCTGTGAAAAAGTGTCCATTCAATTGGACATAATTTCATGATAAAATACTATGAAATTATGTCCTTTAAAGATTGATTTCAATAAGAGGACACTTTTTCACAGTAAAAATTATCCAAAGGGAGATAATAAAAAAGTCACTGAAATGTTTTAGCAATATTTAATTTTCTATTACTCAAACATACCAATTAAGAACCAATTATAATTTGATATAAACAAAAATGTAAGGTGTTGAATTTCAAAGCATTTTTAATTATTTTAGCTATAAAGAAGTATCCACCAGCCTCAACTGACAATGAGAAAAGAACTATCAGGAGAAAAGCATCCAAACTATAGAACAAAAAAATGATGAACTGTACTTTACAACTATTGATAAAAAAAAACAAAAGAGAGAGTAGAACAACTCGTAGTTCATATTGATAAGCTAGAAAGAGTTATGTATCTCTGTTATATGATGAAAGTGGCTGTCATTTGGGCATATATAAGTCCGTAAATAAAATCTCTGCCAGGCATAACTTCCCAATGATGATTGATGCTATTAGAAAATATATGAATATAAAACTTCAATTTAGATAATGAATTGAACCTATGTTTACATTTTGTAGGTATTGAAAGTGGACACTTTTTCAAGTGAAATACTGTCCTTTCTATGAAGGACACTTTTTCATATAAAACATTGTCCTTTCCTTGAAGGGCACTTTTTCACATCTGTGGACACGATTTCATAGGTAAATATCGTCAGGACGATATTTCATAATAACATTATGTCCGTGGACACAATTTACTGTGAAAAAGTGTCCGGTGGATGTAATTTCATGTGGACGATATTGAATCCTACATGCTGACCTCTTTCTTTTTCTTTATTTCAGGTAAAGACCGTGATTTTGATAGTGCAGCTCATTTTATACGAATAGAATTCCAGCGTCAGAATCATGTGCCATCAAAAGTCATCTATCCACATTTTACCACTGCAACAGACACTAGCAATATTCAGGTTGTGTTTCAAGTTGTCATGGACTCCATACTTAAGGATAATCTCAGAAGTAGTACATTGTTGTGATCTTTACAAGGTCATGTCGAGGTTACATCAATGTGGTTAAGGAACATTCCAGTGTTGTCATGGACACTATAGTTAAGGATAATCTCAGAAGTAATACATTGTTGTGATCCTTACAAGGTCATGTCAAGGTCACATCAATGTGGTTTAGGAACATTCCAGTGTTGTAATGGACTCCATACTTAAGGATAATCTCAGAAGTAGTACACTGCTGTGATCCTTACAAGGTCATGTCAAGGTCACATCAATGTGGTTTAGGAACATTCCAGTGTTATCATGGACTCCATACTTAAGAATAATCTCAGAAGTAGTACACTGCTGTGATCCTTACAAGGTCATGTCAAGGTTACATCAACGTGGTTAAGGAACATTCCAGTTTTGTAATGGACTCCATACATAAGAATAATCTCAGAAGTAGTACATTGTTGTGATCTATACAAGCTCATGTCAAGGTTACATCAATGTGGTTAAGTAACATTTTAGTTTGTAATATAATATTTAAATTAATAATTATTACTTAATTTTCTTTTTTTTTTCTTTTGATAGATTATCAAAAAGGTATCTAATTGAAAAAGTAATTAAGAAGAAGTAAGTTAAGATCCTCAATCAGGTTTTTTGCCCGCAATTTTATTGTGTTTACTGCAAAAATGTAGTTTTGAATTAATTTTTTTAATTTTGATTTTGATGGGTTATTCTTTATGATTATAATGGAATTCTTTGCTTGTGAATTTATATATGATTTGATAAAGACTTTATGGTTTCAATGGTGAAAGGGATTAAATAGTCTAATAGGAAATATCTTCCACATATACAGTGTAGTAAGTTATTGAGTCAAATGGGATGTATATTTGGGTTTTTGTTTTCATTGTAATCTTTTTTGGCTACATTTTGGTTCTTATATCATTAGTTTTATATTTGTATGAATATAATTTGATAAAGAGGAAATTTTTAATTAGAGAAAATTCATATTTGATATTTGTTGCTACTGGAATGTTCCTTTGTTAACAGTACAAGCCAAATATAGTTTCTGTGATATGTACATAAAACAGACAGATTATTTTATGTATACAGAAGGTTATTCATGGTGTTAAATGATCTCAAATCATTTGTTTTACCATTTATTTTTAACATCCTTCATTTTAAGTCATTGTTATATCTTTTTCTTTTATTAAGATTTTATAAACATTACAAGACATTGATGAATTCAAGCACAAGTAGAGTTGTTTTACTTATTGTTTTATAGAATGTGTGCCAGCTAGTCTTATATCATCTTCATATTGTACATTTATTAAGGATTTTTGAATTATTGAAGTGAATATGTATAAGACAAATGATTTTAGTGTCTTTAATTTTAAAGTCATTCATAGCAGCTGACTGAGTTCCATTTAGGAACATAAGATTTTATTTTTAAATAAGTCAGATGCACTTATCTAAAGTAAATATATGCTTAGAAGGCCTTTTTATATAATATGTTGTAGAATTATCATATATAATTTTGAAAAGATAGGTTGTGGAATTTTTTCTGTCATGCTAATTTTATTTTTCTTAATTTTATATGCTTTAAAACAGACTCAGATCAGTTTGATGTATTTTGATAAACCATAAATTGATTAAATTTGTCTTGTGCAATTTCTCACCATATCCAATCAGTACATTGCACTCAGCATTTTTCATAAAATCATTTAAAAAACTGATTTTACCACTTTACCCTGTTGATATTTATTCACTTTCGATAATTATATTTGAAAATTTTAAAATGCTCAGTAAATTTGGCCTTATAAAGTTTTAAAATTAAGAGTGATGAAATATCTTAATCAATGGCATGGGGTGGTAGGGTCTATATGTAAACAACTAAGATTTGCTAATTTTGAATCAGATTTTCTTTTTTCTTCATAAAGAATTCATTCATATTGTAAAGTACAGCATATTGATAGGTTGGATATATTAAATTGAAAATACTCAGTCTTCAATTCCTAAACAAAAATAAATGCAATTGTCAGTTTTAATTTTCATAAATTATGATAAATATTCCATAAGTTAAAGTCTGTTTGTTGATATTCTGACATTATTTACACTTGTATACAGGTTCCAACAAAAGTAAAAATATTGCCTAGCAGCTAGTAGAAATGAACAAAGGTCACATATTGGGCCATTTACATGAAAATCAAAAACTATCATCATCTATCAAGTAATTTCCTTCACACTTTAACAAAACGGTTGTATGTCTTATTGTAAGCAATATTATATTTGATAAATTTCTTGCATATTTGCTTTGGGCCTTTTAATAATTTGCATGTAAGAAACACTGTTAAATTGGCAAAATTGCCTCATATTGAGGTTTTTCTTTAATATTGAAGTGTGAGCAAACCTTTTTATAGAGGACATAAATATTGCCAAAACTACAACAACTTCTCTTATAGTAATGACAAATATTAGCATCATTAAAGTTATGGTGGATTAATGTTTTTAATCAAAAAAGTAATTGGAGTTTCCTCAATTATCACAGTCCAATATGTCTTAGAACATTGCACCAGAATTAGAACAAAAAGTATATGTATTAAATACATTTAATAACTTGCTATTAGTGAATTTTGTAGTATTCTTTTTTAAAAGCTTGAGATTAAAACCATTCACTGTTCCACATTTTTCTAATCAGTGTGATAATATAAATTAATAATCATTAAAAATTGTAAATAACATTAAATAATTTATTACTTTCCATTTTACATATTACATCATGACTTATTTATTGTGACACTGCCAAATCACAACAGTTCATCAGAATTATCTCCCTTTGATATGTAACACACTATGATCTCTAATAGAAAAATATCATTTGTACAAAGTATTCAACACCTATATCATGTCATCACCTGTCATTTTATCAGTTTAGCTGACATTAAAGGAGTACCAGTTTTTTTACAACACAAAGCTTTTTGGCATGGTTCACAAGCTAAAGGCACACATATTGGTTATTTTAGGAAAAACTTAATTTTTCGTATGAATAAAGAAAGTAATTCATGTGACAGATTGAGGGTTATTGAAAGTATATTGTCATCAGGTCATTGATAGGAAGATATGAAGTTAATTACATCTTTTTGTATTAATATTACTATTAAAATGATGCAAAATAATTATAAAGTTAAAGAATTACAACCATAACATGTAGACTTATTTAGTATCAGAATTGAAATCAATTTTATTAAAAAAAAGTATTAAACAAAAATGATTATATTTAACTATTTTGTATTGTTAACATAATAATAAGCTGTCTTAATAACTTTCATGTATTTATTGAGATATGTTGGTGTTTAAAATCAGACACAGCAATTTTTGACTGATTGTCTAATCAAAAGCAAGCATTTTTGTTTAAACGGGATTATGACATTTTATTAGAGTCCTTTCCAAAATATGTCAACAATTGTATATTGACATTTTTATGAACAGCTCTTTTGGACTCTGGAAATAATTTTAATTTTTTATATTAACCAGTGTTAACCTTATCAGTGCTGTAATTGTTTTTGTTAATGTTACGTTACTTATTGTTATTTGTATATATCTTTCTGTTTTAGCAAAATTACTTTCTGTTTTAGCAAAAGTAAAAGTTTTACTGTTTTGTTAAATAAATATACATAAAGTTTAGTGATTTACATCTAAACATGAGCAAATTAAGTTTCAATAATTTTGCCATAAGATTTTGTGTCTTTATGAAATGTGGAAACACATAATTTTGGCATTTATATGTTAAGGTAGACCAAATAACACATCCTCAGTTGCTTTATACAGAATATTTCTGTGGTTCAGCTGACTTTATAATTAGTGTTATACAATAATTTTATATTTTCGGACTATGTTTAATATAAAGATTTGTTAAGTTATTTTATTAAGTTTTTTACACCTAACCAATTTTAACTATCATTTTTACATGTGCTTAAATTTGTCGAAAGCAAATTATTTTCTGGCAAGGATAACATTGTTATTTTTATTGTAAAAGTGTTATTCTTTGTGTATCGAGACACACAACATGCTCTCTGTGTATCCACACTACCCAGAAACACAAAATGAGCTCTGTGTCTTCAGACACACAAAATGCTCTCTGTGCACATTTTTGATAACAATTCCAACTAATTTTAGGGAACAGAAATTTGAAAATATGTTTAAGAATGAATCTTGTAAGCTATGTAACATGAACATATTTTAGAGTCAACTTGGGTTTTTATAGCTGTACTCCATTTAGCTCTAAAACTGACATTAGCAAAGGCTTGTGTGTGTATTAGACAGTGTATGGTCTCCATTAAGTTTAGTAATCATTAGGAGGGTTGTAAAGGATAACTTGTTCATCATATCAATTCATAAAATCAAAACCATTTTATTTTAAGATAATAATTGTATCAATTTGACCTGACGGAATGGGTTTTAAATACTTCGTAGATGAAGGACATTCTTTTCAAGACCATGTAAATTATGGTACTAATTTCTTTTTTCTCAATTTTTAAAATAAAAATAATAATTACCACCAGATAGATGATAAAAATTGTCTGACCAATACTTACACATTTCCATACTTCTTTATTCTATGTTGGTGCTTTATTGTTATGAAATGTACATTATAAATGATATATTAACTGCTATGCAATAGCATGTGTAAATAAAAAATTAAAGTAATACGGTGTTCATTTATTTACCCTGAATTATATGTTATTTATGAATTCTTTTTATGACTTCTCACTGTCATCCAATCTTCCCAAATATAGGACTAAGTTAGATCATGATTGTTTCTGAATTGTATATAATTATAACCTAATTTCTATGACCCATCTTTACAATTATTACTTAGTAATGAAATAAAGGTGAAAAATAAAGTTTTGTTTACAGAATTTGGTAAGCTTATTTGAGCAGAAGGTTGGACCATGTCATATAATGATTCAGCTTCTGGATATTTTTATCAGTTAACAAACTCACATACATGTAAGAGTATGATTGCAAGAACTGTTATATTATTTTATTATTATAAGATGAGAATATCAAAGGCTCACAAATAGTCGAGGATATCACTGTCATACCAAAGCCCTATATTAAATAGAATAGATGTAGAAAAATGAATAATTGCTAGAACAATATCTAACTACTGTAATCACCTACTAATCAGTAATCTAAAAAATCCAAAGATCTATTGAATACATACGACCTTAGTCCTCTCTTCGTTCAATAGTATACACATTGATATGTTCTCCACCCTATACTCCAGTATCCTTCACTTATAACTTAAAGACAATTTATTATTATTCCGTTATATTTGGATTTTCCCTTTTCTATTTCTATCTTTAGAAACTAGAACTAGTTTGATTAGTATTTAATTATAAGTCTTTGTGTTAGTGTTGCACGGATATTTCTTTGGTGCTATTACGGGCTGGGTTCTATAGTCAGAAGTTACTGCGAGCAAACCAAGCCTACTTTTTGACTTGGCTCTTATTTAGCTTTGTTCATAGATTAGAAATGTTTTAGATTCGGACGAATTTATGATGGAGAATTTAAGATTCAAAGAATTAGTCCAACTTTGTTTCATTCAAAAGAAAGACCCACGTAGACACAAATATCTTGTTTAAGGAAGAGGCAAATCATACTTAGTATAGAAACCATTCTGATTCAAACCATAAATTGTTGATAATGCAATATCTTCGACAAAATTGTTTCGTTTGGAGGACGTGTATTCCAACAAACAATTGGAATTCCTTTGGGAACCATCTGAACTTTCTTGCTGACTCGTCCCTTCATTGGAAGAAGACAAACCACTCACGGGAGCTTCTCAAGAGTGTA